AAAAAAAATCCCACGAACGGCTGCAGGAGTCGGTTTAATTCCTTGTGTTTCAGTTAGGGTTTTGTGAAGTTCAGTTAAAGGAATAACTTCTGATTTTTGTTGGAAATATATTTTTACCGGATGCGTTTCAAACTCCTAAAACTCCCATTGTACCATAAATGACTTCTTCTGTACTGTAAATGCTGCAGCCTGACAAGTTACTGAGTGGTTATTGTCAGTGTTCTCCCAGGTCTGGCCAGTGTGATAGTCTTGGATTTACAGTTGTTGTGCTGTTTCCTAGTGAATTGGAAAAGTTGTATATTGTACACTTCCAGCAAACGTCTTTTTTAGATTTGGTCACTTCCGAATAGATTTCAAAATGAAGTGTTGAGATTATTTGAAAACTTAAGTGTTGACTCTTTTTTTTCTAAAACAAAGCTTTTTTTTGCGTTCCTGAATGAGTCGTTTGTGCCATATCATTTTGCAGTTTGTGTCTGAACACCCTTGATTTTTCTGAACCTGTAGAACGTTGTTATTATTTCTTATTTTTCTAATTTCTGCCATTGGCACCAATTATAAAAATCCAATGTCAGTCTTCCTCACTAGTTGTTTAATTGATTTAGCCATGTACCGTACATACAGTACGTGTATGTTCTGTGTAAAGGCTGTCAATTCAACAGAGCACCTGCATGGAATGGATTGTTACTTACGGACAGGATTGTTTATATCAAAGCTTTGTGAATTCTGTGAAAAGCAACTGTTGATCTAATGCTGTGATGATTGATGTGGCTCTGTGTTTGATCAAGTAACCCTGAACTGGCTTTGTGGTTTCAGTCAGTCCATTTGCCAGACCAGGAGAAGTTCAGTATGGAATAATGACAACTCAGCCTGAGGTAGTATAGTGCTCTGTGATTGTAATCAAGTATAATTTACAAATCCATTTTAATCCTATGGTAAAAGCACTTGGGTAGAAGTATGCTGAGCCAGCTTCATGTATATACTGTGTTCATAAATATGTGAGGTTTGTGGCTGTCATAACGTTTGTCAGATACCCTAACCTTCAAGAAGTGTAGTAAGGTATTTTTTTATAAGGTACATTTTCCTGCCTCAGTAATGTTGACGATTCATTTTTCTGGCATTTGATTTGTGTGCAGAACCATAAAAACTGAGCTGTTACATTTGCCCATTGCTATTACAGTTCCACTGCAAGCTTTCAGTACTGTACATAGCCGAGAGCCTGAGAGACTGTGTGCTCTGTGGCACTGCTCTGCACTGTATGCAGCACAGTGCAAGAAGCAGTGCACTGTAATATGGCTTTTTCAGGGATGAGCTTTCTGAATTCCCCTTCACTGTATTTTCTGGGGGGTTTAAAAAATGGAAGGATATGTTTTTATCCTGCAAGCGGTGTCATTTGACTTATGGAGCTGCATGTTGATCTTCAGCTTGGTTCTTTTCCAGCTCCCAGGGTATAGACTTTGGTTTAGTATTATTAGAGCACTGCTTTACTCTTAAAGAGATCCTACAGTATGCCCATTTTAATTATGCTTGAGTCATTTTCCGTTTGGTGTTTTCTAACTCTTCTTTACAATAGAGTTCGCTAGACCCATAGACAGGCGTGGGAATATTTCAAACTACTATCTGCAATGTAGTATGCAGAAACGGCTCTAATATTATAATCAATCGTAGGCATTGTCTGTACTCTAATATTATAATCAATAATCTAGGCATCTGTTACATTTTGAAAAAATGAATTCAAAATCTGTTGGTCAAGAAATCTGAATTACTGTTTGCCAAAACAATTATTCACCTACTGCGTTTTAAAACAGGTAGATGGATTTTTGCAGCATGTTCGGTTAAATACTATTAATTGAAAGTTTTCTTCCAAATTTGCATGACTTTTTCAAGAGTGAACCACGAATGGTATTGCCTTAGGAGTAGATGTAGCTCTGAAATACTCCAAAGGAACTGGCTTCATGTGTCCACTCTTTCTACTTTGACAAATCGGTTCGGATTGCATAACTTAGACCTCCATGAGTGAATTTAAAGATTCGTTTTTAGGATAACATGAGGTAGGTTTCCAATGGGCATTTTCACCATGAGAAGCCTGAACACATTATCATAGTTCCCCCTTCCGTATGAGGTCTTATCAGGCTGTTGAGAAAAGGATTGATTTGAAGTCTCACAGTTTATACCTTCTCTAACTTGTCACCTGCCCAGCTATTTCTGAAATGTGTACAACAGAAATAAAGCGCATTGGATCAGTGGTGGACAAAAGACTAGAGTTCTCCAACTACAAATGCCGAATTCCCCAAACTCGGACTGTACGTGACAGAGCCCAACCTCAATAAGGCGGCTCACAGGCACATATTAAAACTCGCGATGACACAAAACAATAAGGTGGAAGGAGTCTTTAAGTCCTCTGAACAAAGACGTGCACTTCACAAATCCCAACAGGCACCTACAGTACCATTGTGAATCCCTTTATATAGCAAACATTCTTTAATCACACCCATATGAGACTGACACTCGAGCCTTCTTGTGTTCCTATATACAAGCATTAAAGGCCTGAATTGGCCTCTATTTATTGGCAGGTCAGCTGTAAATCAGTATTTTCCTGACCTGCTCTGCCACAACGTATTATACAGGCTTGCTCTCTGATGTCATTCAGTATTTTTACCACACCAAAAAAGACAAATCTTCTCATTTGTGGGCTCACTCTGTGTTCTTTTTTTTTTAAATTATTTGTGATTCATGATTTGCTTCATCATTATTGTTGTTGTCCAGCACCCGGCTCCAGAGGCCATTAACCCCAGTGAAGAGGTGACGGACACCGAGGACAACGAAGAGGAGGATCTAGGAGTCATGGATGACCAACGCAGCATCATCCTACACCTCCTCTCGCAGCTCAAACTGGGCATGGACCTCACCAGGGTAGGTACGGGAGCCCACGCCATCCCTGCTGTCTCGATCTCCCCAGGATCGAAGGTCTGTTGTGTGTCGGATCTCTGAAAGAGGAACATCTTGCCTCCTGAGTCCGTGTGTGTATGCAGTCGGGAGAACACTGTATAACTTGTCTAGTCTGGTGGCGTTGTGCGTTGTGCTCAAGCAACAGCTATTTCGATATCGATGGCAAAATCTAATGCCCAGGAGATGCGAGTACTTCCTAAGGTGGACATTCAACTTGTTGTGCCACTCTTTTCAGAGTGTTTTACTGTATCTGCCAGTGATAAATACAATTCTGATATTGAGTAATTTGGCAAATATTGATATATGCTGAATATATGATGCAGACAAACTGTGTGACTTCAATCCATGACCTCCTGCGAGGTCTTATTTAGTCTGCACACACACCTACACGTATACAGGTTTAACTCTCTGCTGTGTGTCCTCTGCGTTGTTATTTTTTCATGCGTCGACTTCATACTGTGATATGCAATCTGCTATTTTGTGTGAGGTTGCAGACCATGACTCTGCCTGGGCCAACATGCAGTCTTGCCCTGCCCATTAGTGAGGGCGGGGGGAGGGACTCAGAGTTTATATCACAGGTTTCGTATGCACGGCTGTTGGTCTCATTTTGATGTGGACCTAAGCTATTGCTAAGAGCTCAGACTTTTCTCTGCGTAGTAGAGCTTTTTCTGCAGTGGTTCATCCCTATAGAATTTTACAGACAGGTTTTATATGTTTATACTGTAATAATTAGAAAAACGTATGGATTATTTAATTCAAATATATAATCATTGTTTCGCCAGTAGATATTCTTTGTATCTGCTTTAGAACTCCGTATTGATTCTGCTGTATTAATCTTAGCTTTAATGCCCCGATATGTGCAATCATTTATAATTCAGATTCAACATTAAAAGAAGTACAAAAAGATTACATTCTTACAGGTCTGGCATTTCGTGAAGTTCGCTTCAGAGTGCAGTTTTGGAGGACAGAATTCGAAAGCTCTGGGAAAACGACAAAGGAGAAAATAAGACAGACATAGCTGTGACAGACATAGCTTGAAAGAAGAGCTAATGGGGTCAAATTCAAAGGCAGCTATTGTTTTCTATTTAAAGCACATGCCATGTATCGAGAGAGGCCAACCAGCAGTGCTTGTCTTGCTTTTTACATATTTGCCAATTAAAAAGAAACCGCGGCGAGAGTGAGCATGGTGCATCTCTCCAGTCACTCAACCCACATTCTTTCTTCTTCCACAGAAAATAACCAGTCAATTAATGAAGTGAACATAAGAAAAAAACCCACATGTACATACTTTTTAACGGGCATTCAGAGATTTTTACTCCCAGGCAGTGATGAGCTGAAGCCTGCCAAGTGCTAGTCTCGGTTTTCTGTGCATTGGCCCCTGGTTCGCCGTCTACCCTTTCATTCTGGTTTTGTTTGAGCTCCTGGGTTTGAGTTGTGGTCACTGTAGCCCGGGACTGCTTAACATGCCACCCTCTCAATCCTGTCCATTGTAGTTCTTTCATACAGCCAGCACCTCAGTTGCTGTATTGACGTGCTAATCATCAGTCCATTAATGCGTTAATTAAGGAGCTGCTCAAGGTAAGATTGTGTGAGTGAGAGGAATGGACCGCCTGTGGGCTGAGTAGCTTCTGTGGCTTGAAGACATTGCTGAGGTTCTGCTTCACGACCGTACCTGACACTACAGTACAGGGGCTGTGTTCCTTTCCGCTCGCCTTTCAGGGTAGTGTCCCACGCTCTCAGCCCAAAGCAGCACGTGACCAGCGCCTCATCCTCGGCTCCTCAAGTGCAGCATTTGTTCCTGGTTTTCCTTCCGTCTCGGACCTTAATGACTTAATAATTGAACTCATTAGGTAGTAGACGCGTATCTAATTCGGTAGATAAAGTCTCAAGCAAGTGCTATTCCTAAGGTACCCTTAGAAGCCTGTAAGATCCCGAGACCGCAGGCACTTGAGGGCAGGGTGTATAAAGCAAGGGGGTGTATCTTGTATATCTAACCCTGCTTGATGTATTCCTGACTGGACACCTCACCATGTTCCTCTCCTCTAATTGTCTTGAAGGTGTTTCTGTCATTTTTCGCGGCTCACTCTATCTTTGCATCTCCCAGTGCACCTGTCCTCTCAAAATCTTTCACTTGTTTTTCTTTTTAGATTTCTGTACAGATAAGCAGCGTCTGGAGGTAGATGCTGCTAACGCGTGTTTGAGGCCGTGCGTCTTCTTGCCTTGACTGTGTGGTGATTCAAATGTGTTGGTCACTCTGGTGAAGAATTAAAATAACAGTGGGGACAAAATCGATGGACAACCTTAATGGAGCTGTGCTTTCTTTTCTAAATAGAGATCAATTTATCACTGCTGACCTGGGCCCAGTGTTGCCTTCCTGTTACACCAGCACTTAGTGGTTATCAGCAACAGAGGAAATATTGTACCCTTCTGTGTTAGCCCTGGGAACTGGATGGATTCATTTTGACTTGGAATTCTTCTTTGGAATACTTTAAGAAGCCTAGTTTTTGTTTCGTCATCCGTTTTCTAAATAAGAAATAAGATGTTTATTTTTTGCTTTTGTTGCAAATCACAAATTCTGAAAGTTGAAAATTAGTAATCCACTGGGATTCAGCTATACGGTATATCCAGTACAGTGTGCTAGTCTGGCAGGCTGACTTTCAGTGTTATCATATGTACCTCATTTATGCTGGAAAGTTAGCTTTCCCTTCTGAATGTGCTGGAGAAATTCAGTCTTAAAATAAATCTGTTTTTCCTCTCGGGGCTTGCGTTTCAGAGCAGATCAGGCAAAGACAGGTCTGCTCTGCTCTCCGAAGAGCCTTCCGTAATAAACTTACTTCAAATCTGTGCTCTGACTTATTGCATTCTGGCAACTAAATTGAACAAATCCTGGCTAAGCTTATTGAGCTTATCGTAGTAATAATATTAACTGTATAAATGAGAGTGAAAATATGTTTTCCTCTTTGTTTTTTCTCTAAATTAAAAAAAAAGTCTCCCAGACATGATTACTGTTTAAAATTCATCACTTTCTCTTCTGTTAAATTTACTAACACTACATTGTATGTGTGTGATTAAAGTACTTGTAATGTAGTTTGGGTCAGAAAAGTTTCATGTACCCTAGAAATAGAAGAGCTTGAATTTGTTACCTTGGTACAGTATAAAAACAGGAATGTGATTAAATGTGAGCTTAATACTCCAGGAAGATAGAATATTCCAGAGTTTACTTTGAACATCCAGAATAAAAAATCATTGTGAGAAAATAATGTACAATTACTGTTTATTAATGTTTACAGTGTTTACACATGGTTATATTTTAATAACTTAAGTAAGGTGAACCAAATATTTTAAGTAGAGTATATCAGATCAGGGTAGAAATTTTTAAATGCTGGTAATTCATAGCATATATCAAGATATCCAACTTTTCCTCTGTTTAAGCTCATTCTTGAAGTATACTAATTCTGCCATACACTGTAAATGCATCAAGTAACATTAAACAAAGCTATTGTTCCATATGTCAACATTCTGATATCTCCACAAGCAAGATCATCTGACTCACGTCTTCAGCTGTGAATATCGGGGAAAGGGTTTGAAAGAACTCTAAAATGAGTCCATCACGACTTTCGAAAATGCCGTTTTGGTTTTGATAGTGTGCGGGTTTCAGCATAGCTCCTACTTCATTTAAGATTTTGTTCTGATGAATAATGAATGATTCATTCACGCTCTGTAATGCTGTCTTGACTAATAGCTGTTTTACTGGAACGCCTCAGGTCTAGTACCTTTCAAGCTTCATGACAAAATGCGTGCCTGACTTTATACAGTACAAATACTTAACTTAGTGTAAGTTAAAACTTTCATCATGTTCAGATGAATAAAAAATCCCCTTGTGATTATTTCTGTGACTAAATTTATACTTTTACGTATAAATCCATACTCACAGAAATAATAACTGGCATCCTACTGAATTTACTAAATGGAAAAAAAGTGCTAAACATTGGTTATCAAACTCCGCTTATTGCCCGGGGCACCGTTTCGGAGATCATCAATGCAGGGAGCTGGAGAGGGGATTTCAGAAGAGGTTGGCTTAAACCTAAAAATGATTGCTTCCATTAAGCAGGGGAAATACTGGATTCTGTGTTGCAGCCAAACGCCTATAATCCCATGCAGTTGCTTAGAAGGCCCTAATGGATTTGCATTTTACTAGATTATTTGTGCACCACAGTAAAATTTCAGATGGCAGAGCCGTCTAAACACAGGCGGAGTCAGAATGTTAATCAGATAAAACCATAAAGCTGTGGTTGACTTGTCTTTTTTTGAGAATTCAGAAATATCATGCAGTCTTTTTGGGTGATGCTGAGGTTTTCCGTTCTGTTGTATGAAAAGTAAAAAGAGCTGCTAATCTCAGCAGCCATGTCCCGACCCTGAACGTTGTATATTTAGAGGAAGTAAATATTTGTAACAGTAGAGCTTTTCTATTAGTTTTTAACACTGGTTCTTAAATTTTGGTGCTTATTTTGCAGGACCTTTTCAAAGATGCACTACTGTAGGTCCACTTTCATAACTATAGCCTCACAAGCATGTTTGAGCTCAGGCAAGGTTCATGTGCAAAACTAATGGATCTGTCCTAGCCTGTCCTCATCGCCAGAACTGTGTGCGCTAGTGGAATTTTTAATTTCCTTCGTGTCCTCGAGGGCAAGACAGCAAATAGAAGAAGCAAACAAATCTCTGGGAAAAAAATACAGAAAACTCTTTTCTTATCTACTGACAGATGCAGTCTGTTTGACACAATGCAGAGCCATCTGCAAGTGTTCCTGTATTTCAGGCCACAGCTGTTTTAATGAGGCAGTTACAGAGTCGATGCCGTCTCTCCGGACAAAAAAAGCACCCTGCAGTTCCAAATGTAGCACAGCAGAATGGTTTTCTCCTCTCTAAAAGCAAGATCCCATATTCATCGTAACCGAAGGCAAGCAGCAGTTTTTTTTTTACAAAAAAAAACTAAGTAAAATGCTAGGTAGAAGTTGTGACCATTGTTTGTTCTGACATTTTAATAATTTTTACATTGTAATGGGAAAAATGTTTTATTTTAAAAGCCAGGTTTTTCATTTAGCAAGGATAGAAGCCACAATTTTAAATGGAATTGTGAATTCCAAGGCTGCAGCTTTTTAGTTGAAGATCAATTGTTGGAAGACATGGGAAGAGGGAGTCAAAGAACAGGGGAAAATATTGCAGTTAACTGGGTTACAAAGTTCATACAGTTCATTCTGTGCTTAATCACTTCTAATTGATTAATACTGAACTGCTGGAAGTGCCTGGGTTTCTAAATACTCATATCGATTGCATGACCTATAAGAGCAACCTGTTTTAGTTCTGTACTAAAGGACATGATTCACCTTGTGCGAGCTTATCCAACACTGTTTTCTTTTCTGAAATCAGCACCTTTTATATAGTATAGTGCCCCCGTTGCTATACCGGGGTGTTAGGACCCACACAGACCGCAGGATGGGCGCCCCCTGCTGGTCCCACTAACTGGTCCCACTTCCAGCAGCAGCCTCAGCTTTCCCAGGAGTACCAGGTACTGGCCGGGCCCACGCTGGCTGAGCTCCAGTGGGTAGCGCCCAGAGGAAACCCACGTGAACAGGGGGAGAACGTAGAAGCCCCACGCAGACAGACTTGAACCCGGGGCCCCTGTGCAGCATGGCAGCGGTGCTGTGCTGCCTGTTCCGAGCGCTCAGGAGCCAAATCCTCTGAAAACCACCCCCGAGAGCCCCTTTGCTGTGGCTCGGCTTTCTGCAGGGGGTCTGTGTAGCCCGGCCGGCGACGCTCACGCGCCCTGTTGTGCCCCCGCAGGTGGTGCTTCCCACCTTCATCCTGGAGAAGAGGTCCTTGCTGGAGATGTACGCCAACTTCATGGCGCACCCCGACCTGTTCGTCGCCGTGACGGCGGCGGCCACGCCGGAGGAGCGCATGGTCCGCTTCGTGGAGTACTACCTGACCGCCTTCCACGAGGGGCGCCGGGGCGCCGTGGCCAAGAAGCCCTACAATCCCATCATCGGGGAGACGTTCCTCTGCTCCTGGGACGTGCCCAGGGACAGGGCGCGGCCCCGGAGGGCGAGCGGCGCGGCCCCCGTCCCCGGCGACCAGCAGGACTCTTGCAGGGTGCGGTTCGTGGCCGAGCAGGTGTCCCACCACCCTCCCGTGTCCGGCTTCTACTGCGAGTGCAAGGAACGGAAGATGTGTGTCAACGCTCATGTGTGGACCAAGAGCAAGTTCATGGGCATGTCCATAGGAGTGTCCATGGTTGGGGAAGGTAGGTGTGCGTGCGTGCGTGCGTGCGTGCGTGCGTGCGTGCGTGCGTGCGTGCGTGCGTGCGTGCTATCGCCAGTATCAGCATCGCTAAGGCGGCGGGTCTGTTCCCATTGTTCTGTTCAGCACTGAAAATGAAATGCCTCAGGTGTCACTCTGGCGTAGACTGATGACCTTCCTGGTGGTCGATTGTGTTTCCCATTGAAGCCCGTCGATAATATTGTAACACCGCAGAGAGTGGATACGTTTTTATACAGCACTGCGTTTTGTAGGTGCACAGATAGGTTGCCCCAGAAGGAATGCATGTGTCTTTAAACCACTCTTTGTGCCATCATATCAAGATGAGCACCTACTCCTTAAAAGGTTTACCTTCCCTGCTGTGGCTCTTTGAGGCCTCTGAAGGCAGAATTGCACCTACTTCCCATTAAAATGTTGCCCAGAAACATGTACAGTAGATGCAACAATGTAGCATCTTTCTGCTCATTCTGTGTGTTAGCCAGGATCCCATTTTTATAAACAGATTGTGTATTAACTGCATTAAGAGCAATTTAAAGGCCATTCTTTTTTTTAAGAATCGCCAAAGGCGGTTTAAAAATGTCTTATGTAATTGTGCAATATGTATGTACTGTAACAGGTCATTAGAAATTCTAGAGTTACAGCAAAATGGTACACACTGCATAACGGGAGCTCCTAAAATGTTTCTGTGGAAGTGTGATGGCTTATTAATACAGTATATTTTCTAAAAATCATTAGAATTCAAACGTTGTAGGAGCCCTACAGTTATCTATGCAAAATGAATGTTGGAGTTGCTAGTGCAGAATCTCGTTCATTAGGAATGATGTTTATTCTTTGCAAATGAGGCAAGTGAGGGGAGGAATCCTTTGTGCTTGTTGTTCACTGGAAAGAGGCTCTGTTCAATTTCCGCTGTAACAGTGGGCATTGAGGTACCTTGGATCTCACCATGTTAGTCAACAGTGTCTGTGCAAGGGCCTTTGCCTGCTGTCCACTTTTCACATGCATCTCTGTTGTTCAGTAGAATGTAAATCAGGGTTTGCGCTTTATTGCTTTTAAACATGGGCTGTTTTTCATTATATTGCCAGCTCTTCATTGATATTTAATCTGTAGTGTCGCATTATTTACGCAGGTGTTCTCTCAAATTGCAGCACAAGCATAGAGCAAAGGCTGCACAAGACGCAGGGCTTGCAAATTCAATTGAGGTTCTTGGCTGTTTTCCCCTGGTTGTCATTGTTAAACTGTAATCACTTCACATGAATCTCTTTCGTAACAATCTTAGCATTTGAAGTCGGCATAAGAAGTACCATTATACAGAAAATGTTTCAAACCTTTTTGTTCACATTGTGGTTAGGTTTGATTAAAAAATCAAAATTTAAAATAATGATAATATAATGTAAACACTATAACCTCACCTTGTTTATATACTCATTCATTCAAGTATTAATTTGTGTTATAATGACTTGTATATTACGAATGGCCAGTCCAGGTCCACCCTATTCTCTCCTTTCAAACTGCACAGGTACAGTATGTGGAGGCACAGTGCAAGCTCGGTTTATGTACTTCCGACCTTCTCCTGTGTAATTGTTCTTTACAGTGCTGGAGCCACAAGTCACATGAAATTAATTTGTAGGTAGTAAACCTGAGCAGAGTGCTATTATGAAACCAGGCACTGGTTTCTTCAGTTTCAGTTTCAGCTTTGTTTTAAATTTTGTGCGGCTGTAGTACACGATGCGCTCATCATGAGTCACGGTGTTGGTTTGCTACAGTTTCTTTTTTTTAGCCATTTTCCTGCGGTAGCTTTCTTTCTGCAGTCAGGTCTGTTGGACTTGGGCTGTAAAGAAAAGTATGAAAGGAAAATGAGGAATAGTCCTGAATTAATCCTCAGCTCAGTGCTCTCCTCCGTCTCCACACGTGCTGCGTCGGAAGGTTTTTTTACTTTTGTGTGGCGTGGGAACCACGATACTGGGAAGAATAACTTTGATACGTATAAAAAATATCTTGTAGGGCTTCATTTTGTGCCATTTTTTATACTGGTTTGGCGTAGTAGTGATCTGTTATTTTGTCATTACCTGAAAGAGAGGCTTTGTCTGAAGTTTGTTACTGTAAGAAAAAACAGCTTCTCCTGAGCAGTGATAACACTGCTACCTGAACACAGTTTGCTGGAGGTCTAGATTTGCGCTTTAAAATGACAGTGAGGACGGGCTTGATTTCACAGCCCTGATTAACGCTGGTCTGGAACTTGCTTGGGGAACAAGGAAGCAAGAGTGATGCTTCCTCTCCAGTCTTCATCACTTGAAAGGGCAGAGAACAGTTTTTCAATCTATTGCAAATTGTGTGACACATTTGTTTAAATACTAACCGACATTATTTATGGTATTAAGTTTTCCATAAAACCGTTTTTCAGTACCTTACAAATGCAAAAGCCCCATACGCCCCCCAGCACCATACACACAAAACATACTGTACATGTACACATAAAACATACACATAAAAGCAGATTGAACATCGTTACACAAAGCGTACGTTAGTGGGATTGATTAATTGATTGAAATTGAGGTCTGAATCCTATCTTATTTAATCAGCCGGTGTGTGAATAGATAAGGGACTGCTTTGTGTGGACTTGAGAATATTTCCTTCTTGTAGAATGCGTCTCATATGTGTGGTGATTGGCAAAGAGTTTTCATTTTGACATATTTTCCATAGAGAACATTGAGAACATGATGCACACAGTAGTAATGTGTCCATACAGTATCGCTGGTTGCAGCCTGACCACTACCTTGGCCTAATGCCATAATAAATCTAAGTTCGCCCTAAACTGTTTCCAATATTTCTGCATTGAATGGTTTTAAAATTCCTTACCTGGTATGGAAAGCAATATTTGGATCTCTTAGGAAACTTCTCTCATGAACACAAGAAAACCTTATAAAAAATCAATTGGAGTGTTTTTACAGCCAGATATCCTCCTACAAGGCAACAAAAAATACCCGTGTCCTGTCTATATCAAACATCATGCCATGTTATTTTTTACTGTTTCATAAGCCCACTGCTTATGAATATATCAACACAATCCGACGGTTATTTTAAGCCACATTTTGTCAGCCACATTCTTCTGTGTTTGTTTAAAACACTTTCTCCCCCTCCCTCCATTCAATATTTTGTTTCAAAACTGTTACTGATGGGTCTTAGTGACGCATACTTCCCGTAGTTACAGATACCCGTTATGGGCATGCTTTGAACATGTGGTACAAAAAATAGTGAGTTAAAAATCGTATTTTAAAAAAAAAAAGTTATTTCTATTACATGAATTGGCCCTCTATGAATTGGCTACATTACTCTGCTCTCCTCCCCACTGATAGCTGGTGTGTGGGGAGCGTTCTGGCGCACTATGGCTGCCGTCGCATCATCCAGGTGGGGCTGCACACTGGGGGTTGTGGAGGGGATCCCCATTACCTGTAAAGCGCTTTGAGTGGAGTGTCCAGAAAAGCGCTATATAAGTGTAAGCAATTATTATTATTATTATTATTATTATTATTAATTACATTATTCACGATTCATTAATTCTCATGGGTCTTTCTAAATGTCCTCTCCTCTTATCATTAGCTGGAAAGTTTTTCTTGAAGTAGAATTCACTTGAGGCCAAGGTAAGATCTGGTGATTAGGTATAAGTGCAGAAATTTAAAATGAAATGCACTTCTCCGATTTATTGAATTGGTTAAACTTGCATAAGGGACAGTACAAAAGACCTGCAGAAAACGTATTGATTGTGGTATTTAAATACCTATTTTCAAAATAAGGTTTTAAGGAGAAAAGATAGGATGAACTAAAAAGGAATTCGTGGGCAGTATTTAAAATTGGTCATAGATCAACACCACAATAACTAAAGGTAGGGAAACTGACCAAAAAAAGAGATGTCTTTCCTGGTTGTGACCGATGAAGAGGTTAAACTCAAAGCTTGCTTTAACTCTGGCTCTCTGCTTGCTAGCTGTGTGCTGCGAAGCGTTTCTATGGAGACGGCTGGGTAGACCTAGGCCAGATGAGGAATCCCAGTGATCTCCAGCAGCACTGTGGGCAGTGAATGGAAGTCCGGTGATGTACAGTGGGCGTGGGAATTATTGGAACTTTATTTTCCATTCATTCATCCTTGGCTTAATAGGAATCATGAGTCTCTAAAACCACTGAGCGTAATTGTTCCTTCTCTGCGTGGTGCTGTACAGAAACCAACGCTCTTTTAGGGACTCACTTTTATGCCGAATTAAAGAGAGAATTTCCTAGTTATGGTGACAAACTGATTTTTAATAAGATGGAGCAGCCAGAAGAGGATCATTCATCAGATCTAGAGCTTCTCGTGTTGGAATGAAGTCTCCCTTCAGGAATGTTTTCAAGTCCGGGGTAATGGAGACACTCGAGCGATTTTCATAACCCCGTAGCAGGTGAAGACAGCTTTGGAAACTACAAGGTGGTCTCCTGCAGAGCAATGTTTCTCTTTGTGAAATGCAGTCATGCTTATTACACAACAAAAATAAAATGTATTGCCTGCATGATTTCCAGTATCAGTCAGAGTTCAGTTCTGGGTTGGGGTACCTTCTGTGCTGAAGTTTGCACTGTGTGGAACAGTGCTTATGGTTCTGGGATTGAAGTTCAAATTTCACGTCCAAAAGGGTTGTGGAACTTGGCTTCCTTCAACAAATGATAAATCAATAAGCTACTAAGTACCACACAGGACAGATGGGTCAGTTGGTTTCCTCTCATTTATAACCTTTCTCGTGTTCTTATGCATGTTCTCCTTGTATTCACATGGGTTTTAATGTTGATATAGTCACGGTTGGTACTGGGTACTGATGATAGACTCACCCTGTTTGATGGATCTCTGCTGCTGTGCCAAAAGCACTATGGTGGGGATAAGTTTTGGGGGAAGAAGATACTACTTTAACACTGTGATTAATATCTTTCAGACTACTTCAGGTGCATCGCTCACTCTTATAGTGTGTCAGAGCTTGAGACAGAGAGATTTACAGTAACAGTCCTTATTGAATATTTGGACATTTGAGACCCTCACTACGTGTTACCTCCAAACTAGAAAGGGTCTGAAAATAAAAGGTTGACGAAAAGTACCCCGTGTCGCTTGAATCGGGTACAGAAATCACTCTCTCAGGCACAGGTGTCTCAGTCATGTCAAGCTAAGCCTGATTAAATGCTCTAATTCCTCCCGATTTCAGCACAAAAGAACCGAAGCAGAAACAGAAACGCGTGGTGCAGAGAGAGATGTACATGCAAAGACGGTAAAATGGAATGTTCTGCTGCTTGAAACATTGAGGATCTTTTCAGAAATTCCTTACCGATTTAAGAAAGCTTGTAACTGTAATCGCAACTCTCTCATGCAGTAAATGAACCTACAGTACTGTGATATTTATAGCACTATGTCCGTTTCTTCCTAAGTGTGGACAAGCTCACTTAGGGTTCTGTGATGTACCCTCCTAGGACCCCCATAATGAGTTCTCCTGCATTGGGAGGTGGGCTTTTTGGGGTAAGAGAATGAACCTCTGTTTGGAGGAGGAGCTGTGTAGCTCCTGTAAACAGGGAGATGTACAGGTGTAGTAGTGGCCATGGAACTGTAAAGTGCCAACAAAACCACTCTTGATCTTTTTATGACAGAAATAGTTGAGGGGGCAGCCAGAGAAAACATTTCTGTTTATGGCGATGGATGGTAGTGGTGGTTGAAACAGTTACTTAAGTACTGTATAATATTTCCATTTCATCATTTCCGGACTTCACGTGTTTCAAAGCTGTAGAATCTCTCTGTGACTACTAATTGCATGATTCCTGGAGTGTCCTTAAACCATCAGCCCCGAGTTTCCATGTTACGCCGGAATTACCGCGGAATCCGTTTACAGGAAAATCCCATCTGTCTTCCCAGAAAAGTAAGGCGATAGTGATCTTGTTTTCATGTCGGGATACAGGTTCCTCAGCCGTGTTAAAAGTAACCTCTCAGCCACCCAGCTAAGCAAAACAGCACCTGTAATCAGTAAATAAGACAGCTTGGAGCACTGTGGGTATTTCTTCAGCTTCTGGCTTCTCATGGAAAATGCTCTGAAATGTCCAGGTGAAAGGTTTAACAGACCCGTGGTCTTCACGGGTTTCCGGCTGCCACTGGTATTTATTTTAACTGCAGGGAAAGAATTCTCAGGCCATGCAAGCTCTGTATTACTTCATGATCTGTGGATACATCCCTTTCATTCCACACCCAGTAAGCTGACCTCCTGGGCATTAGGGTCTTCCAGCTGGGCCCGGCTGCCACAGCTGCTGCATCTCCAATCCGATATCGGATGACGGATGTTCGGTTATGTCAGAGAAAAGAGGGTTATCCTAATTCGATGGAGGCTTTTCTGTGTGCTGCACGGCCCCCAGCGATTCGGATTTATATATATTCACCTGAAAAGTGTAAAGGATATTCGTTCACAAAGAATGGAGTCTAGTCGGGTATCTGTCAGTGACTAGTGTAAATACGATGCTGATTATTCAATGAGCAAAAGATCAGGAGAGCCAGGTACAAATGAAAACAAAATGTCTATTTCAACTGTAGTTATCCTGTGGGGAAGAGCAGGGTAGCCATGATGAGAACTGGAATTGTGCTGAATTCTTCATCTTTCAGGAGTTAAGGTCCTATTTTAAAGCTCCCTCAAACAAGAGGGGTCATCAGAGGTTCATGTGAGCATCTATTTTGAAGCACTTTGGCATTCTTTGACAAGATGGACGTCTATTTTTAAATGTCCTCTATTGTTCTTAAAGTTCACTAATTGAATGAGCTTTTAGGAACTCTGCCCACAAGCAGGAGTGACTGTGCACAATTCCTGATGATTATCTGCAAGAAGAAATGAAGGAGGAGAGATTGAGTCTCTATTTCCTAACATGAACAAACAAGCTGCTTAATCAGGAGCTGTTCTCCCTAATCATCACAGCTACTGTGGGTCAGATTTTGATTTACACAGACAGAGCTACTCTTCCCTTAATTATGTTATCGCCCTGCTAATTGGCAATCGCAAAATTCATTCCAGTAGCAGGCACTGATTTCTTGTTTGACTCAAAAGGTCATTGTGAGAGCCAGCTGGCCAGAGTGAGTGAAACTGTTGTTTACCGTCTCGGGATTGTGAGTGATTGTGCCTTTTCAACGTCTGGCTCCCCCTCTGTCCTGCAGGACTGCTTTGCCTTATGGAGCACGATGAAGAGTATGTCTTCACCCTGCCTTGTGCCTACGCCCGCTCCATCCTCACCGTGCCCTGGGTCGAACTCGGGGGCAAGGTTTCCATAAACTGTGCCAAGACCGGCTACTCTGCCACCGTCACGTTCCAGACCAAGCCTTTCTACGGGGGAAAAGTGCACAGGTTGGTCCGCCTCTGTCCTGAGAGCCGTATTGGCGCGCCTGATGGGATTACAGGGTCGCCACAGCAATAAACCTGTTAGCAGTATTAGTAATAATATTATAGTAGTTCAGGTGGGGAGCTGCGTCGGCGTCTGCGGGCTGCAAAGGAACAGGCAGAGGTTTATTCAGGTGGCCAGACCCGAAGAAGGCTCCACAGCCGAAACATTGTGTTTCTTTTCTTCTCTTGTCAGCATGGAATAAACCTCTGCTTGTTCCCTTCCATCGTTATTGTTGTTTGTTATTTGAGAGGCTCGCTGTGTTCTTCAGGCTGTGACGAGATTGTGTACTGGGCTGCCAGCGCTCCCTTTCCCCCAGTCTGGAAGTAAGCTGCTGGTTCTGGAAGGCCTGGGAGTTCTGGGATTGGATTGGTTTCTTATTTTGGGGGAAGAATGTCTTTTCTAATCCCCGAGTATTTCTCTGTGTCTCGACGTCGCCTTTCTGCAGCCAGAGCACAACAGATCCTCTCTGGGTAGCCAGGTCTGCTTGTGTCACCCAATTTCTATAGCCGGGCTGTGGTCACTGAGCTGCTAGTTTTCCAGGTTGTGTTTTTATATATTTCAGTCTCGCGTGTGCGTTTCCTTATGTAATTAATGTGTGGTTGTTTTACAGGGACAGAGATTTGTGCTGTTTGTTGAGCTTTGTTGCCATGTAAACCAGACCACAGGTGTTGCAGTTGTAGGTGACAAGCCATGTGACAATAATGTGACAAAAGGGAATGATCAGTCAGATGTAAACATGGAGCCATGTCCACAAACAGTATCTTAACATAGGAATGAGTGGTGTTTCCTTCAATACCTGCGGTGAGGATTGCAATGTATTAAGGATTTTTACAGCATCTTAAGTATCTTTTTATTGGTATATCCCAAATGATAGTGGAAGCACACTCTTGTTCGTCATTTCAATTTAAAAGTTATAAAGTATTTTAATTAAACTTTTGCCTTACATGAGGATGATTAAGCTCCGTTAATTAAATTGACATGTTAGTGAGCTTAGTACTTCAAACTACTATGGTTAAGTCTTTCTCAAAGGTTAATGGGGCTTTAAATCACTTAATCAGTCTAAGATTTCCTAACATCTTCTTCCATGGTGGTTGGAAAAAAATTAAAGGGTAAAGATCGCTGAAGAAAACAGCTCCTAAAAACAGATAATTAACTTTGGCTAGTTAATTCAAAATGTATATTTTATCATATTTATACGTGGTAAAAGATGAGTAGAAATCAAGATGCAGCACTCTGGATGTGTAAATAAAATCAGACCTCATTAATCATTTTAGATTCAAAATCTTTGAGTATTGATTGTGATGGCTGTGCGTCTCTTTGTGACAGGGTGACAGCAGAAGTCAAACACAACCCCACCAACACGATAGTGTGCAAGGCTCAAGGGGAGTGGAATGGAACCCTTGAGTTCACCTACAGCAGTGGGGAGACCAAAGTGATCGACACCACCAAACTGCCAGTCACCAGGAAGAGGATCCGGCCGGTGGAGAAACAGGGACCCTTTGAGTCCAGGTAAGGGGATCTGTAGGTGAAAGAGTAGGTGGGTGTTCAGTGCTTACTATGAATGTATTACGTACCACTGCGGAGCAAATCAGACCAACAAAACAACTCATTATCAAAAAGCAAAGCGGCTCAGGCGGCAGTACAACAAGTTTAATGCGCTCGTTCGTGCAGAAGAATTTGCTTCTAAGCAGGTCATCCCTTTAAAATGATTTATACTGGCTTGCAAAAGCTCTATTCATATTTCATCCTCCAGCTAGTTACATTAATCGCTTTTCCACTAATTTTGATACACAGATAATACCTCTGATTAAAGAGAAGTTAATTGTCTTTTGAGTGTTTTGTGAACTCCATCTTGATCCTTAAGTGCCTTACTGAGTTAGATTTTCACTGGTATTAATCAAATCACAGGCACTACAATGCTTTGAGTCTGTTTTTATTTTCCAAGAGTGGAAACATCAGGAAACCAACAGGAACTGACAAATATTTTGTCCAACCTTCTCCCTAGAACACTGGGTTTTGGATTGAACTGTATGATGTTGTCTTTAATTGTGTTATTTAGGAGAAAGATATTGCACAAAAATAGTGGTACTATATATAAATATGCTGTGTGTTTTTCTTAAAACAAAATAACAGAAAATTGAACATTAATTAACACACAGTGTAACTATTGAGGGACCACTATACAAAATAAATGGCATTTGATAAGATATGCTAAACGGATTGCTTTGTCTTCCACTCTGTAATATCCAATGCAGCCTCTAAGAGCAGGAAATTACCTTGTACAGTGGCTCTGTAGCCTGCTGGAAATGTTTTCTCATTGGGGTCAGAGTGATTTGTACAATGGTAGTCCCCTCCTTACCCAGATACTGTATCTGATGTGGCACCAACAGGCTTCTGTTTTAGGAATTCTGTACTGACTGAATGACAGGGATAAAATCCTCAATATCAACAATAGGTCATAGGTCTTATGAGATTCTAAATTTCCTGACCAAACTATTAAAAAGAAGTCCAGTGTTAATTTAAAATATACCGAGCTAACCAATGCTGTAAATAGTTTTATGGGTGCATGGTATTTGTTCTTTATAATATGCTACTTAATGCTACAGAAGTCGTTAGTATAAGCTGTGTTGTTATGTCCAACTGCATATTTTTATCACAAACTTTGTAGAAAACTAGAGTCTATAAAGTGCAATGTAAGTGCAGTTGTAATCACAGAATGAGTAATATCTAAATCATCGCGTCGGTGCTTTGATACATGAAACTCATTAGGCTCATTTTTTATTATGAAATTTCTAAACCAATTTATTTTGTAGTTAAGGCAGTCATAATCACTTTGCTTTAAACAAAGTCAATTTAAATGCTTAGTCATCTGTGAAAATACATGAAATAGTAATTGTCTTTTCAACTGGCGTGTGGGGCAGTAGCTCTCACAGTATTGATTATAGTTTAGCCCGATGTGTTAAAAACGAAGGGGAAGAAACCGCAGTAGTCACCCGATCCATTCAAGTCGATGTCATTGTCTTTGTAAACATTAAATCTTGGTTCTTCATATTATTTTTCAGAACAAAAAAAAAACATGGGCTTTATCGTGTGGTCTGAAGTTTCCGGGGAAAACACAGTGTTCAGAAAGCAGTTTTTCTATGTTTTCAGAAGGTGTAGCAGAGCCCAAGGCTGAATTCAGGACTGCTTGCCCCTGGGCATCGTGTGGAGATTAGGTGTTCTCCTGGGGAACAAAGTTGAAACCCAGCGGGTTAACTGAGGGAGAGAGGGATTGTCCCTGGATTGCCAGAGCTCGCCGGGAGTGTCCTTACTCTGGACGTACGGTATCTCCCAGGCGAGCTCGCGGCCACGCTGTGAGGTCCGCCGTGCGGGCCGGTCGGCGGGAGGCTGGGGCCTGTGGTCTGGTAAGACTGGCCCCGTGTCTCCCCTGTGTTCCAGACGACTGTGGCAACATGTGACTGCTGCCCTCAAGGAGGGGAACATCGACGCGGCGACCGAGCACAAGCATCGCCTGGAGGAGAGACAGCGCGCCGAGGAGAGGCAGAGAGCATCCAGCAACACACCCTGGAAACCCAAATACTTCATCAAGGAGGTGAGGGCGTCTTCACTTTTTGATATCGCACCCCTTGTTATCCCAGAACAGTACTGCCCTTCTAACAGACGTGTTTTTCCAGTCATGTTGACTTTACTTTGCACTGAAATGGCCGAAAAATCTGTTTCTACCTGATTCTTTGGTTCTCGATACTATTGCCTCATACTTAAGTTTTCATTAAATGCTTGCCAATTCCCTGCCCTTCAGCCCCCCCACACACAAAAAAAAGCACCAGACAAGCCTTAGAAAAGGCTCTTCAATAAAAAAAAATATTAAAAAGCCTAGGGACAGGTTATCTGCCTCCTTAGGGAAACGTGAGGACTGGATTTGAAATAAGGACAAACGAAGGCCTGACTTCAGCGCGTGATCCTGTAATTCTGTGTTGGCAGGGCGAAGGCTGGATATATCACAATCCACTCTGGAAAACCCTTTGACGAGAACTCGGGGGACTGCTGCCAGCCAGCCATCCCTGAGCCCAGCGCCGGGGAAGACCATCTACGAGCTGGGAGAGGAGCTGGTGAGAGCAGGGCAAGAGAACTGCAGTTCGCTCAGAAACTCGCACCAGATTCCTAACAAAGGAGTATGAAAAGATGATGACAAAAACTGCCAACGAAGAATAGGACCGCAAGCTCCCGGGCGTGTTCTCACAGAGAGCCATCCTGGTATAAACACTCCTAGGCCGACAGACTCTTTCGCTTTTTGGGCTTGGGGGTGAGAGACTCCGTTTTTATTATCAAAACTAGAATATTTCTATTTTTCACTCTGCCAAGAACTTTTTTTGCTCACACACAAGTGATTTGTCACTGCCGTTTCTCTCCGTCTCTCCTGTCCCATCAAAACACACAGTGCAAGAGAATGTATCTGGCCGCCACAGCACGTGTCTGTTGCTCCAGCAGCTGCCCTGCCTCTCGCCACGCTAGAAAGGTAGCTCTCCAGCACCTCCCTGAGGTCTGTGGAGCACCACGGTGTTATTGTGAACTTCCAAAGATGCCTCCCGTTTGCATGTTCCATGTTCCTGCGAGACTCGGAAGGCTGTGCATTAACAATCAGACAGACCCAGGTCTAGCTCTCCCTGACAGTGGTTGTTGCTGCACATTGCTGTCTGTCGTGAAGCCAACTCGATCTTTGAGATCCCAGCTAACATTCCAGTTGATGACTTGAGTTTTGACTTGAAGGGCTTTTTCAGGACTAGACTCTAAAATGTTTTTATGTATAATCTCATTCGTGGCTTCCTTGCAATGACCTGCACTCATTTACAACATAAAAATACCCGTCGTCCCCATAGTCAACCGTGAAAGTAAGTTTTAATACGCCGCGTCTTTCACAAGTAACTGGGAGAGTTGGTGTGTTCAAGGCCAGTAATCATTTATCTGAGGGTCTTTACAAGGGCTGCCGGTGACGTGCGATTGTGTTGCAGTCGAGGCTTGATCTGCTGTGGTCTGTAATCTTTTTATTGATCATTATGTATCCTGCCACCTCCTCCCTTCTGTATGTTTCCTGTCATCTGCGTGTTTTCACTGCTTTCTCGTTGGATGAGCACTACAGGGGACCCTTATTCTGCCCTTCAAGGGTCTTTAAGGGTCTCTCTAAGTCTTCAGTGTTGGAAGAACAGAGAAAGGCTTCAGTTTGTCCGGTTAAAGCAAGCATTTGGTTAGGTGGTTAGAAAACTGAAGAGTTACGAGTGAGCTGTATAATGGTGGCTCTCTGTGACCAGGGCAGGTCACCTCAGTTCTACAGTTTCGTCTTTTGCTTGCCTTGCAGTGATGGTTATGTACGGGGAAGGGCGGTTTTTGAAGTAGAGAAGCCAAGAAATTATTTTAAGTGTGCAAAGCATAAAGTGTGTAAAGAGTTTTATAGCACTTAAAGGCACCATTGTTCTCCTTCAGCACAGGGAGTCCAGAACAGGAGCCAGAATAACTTCTCTTCTGCAGTGGCACTTAAGCGCCATCCTTGAGTTTGTTGTGAGACGGTGCAGGCCCAGTGTGTCTCTGTAGCAAACACAGGAGCAGGACGTATTCCACATAGTCTTTGGTGCTCAAGGTAGAAACACTGAACACTTTTAGATGTATTTCTCCTTTGGCCGTTTCAAACAAAGTGGGTTCCTTGTCAAAGGAAAAACATGGTCTTTCTAACCCCAACCTGGACATATTCCTAACCCTCGACTTAAGTCATGTAACACTAGCTTTAGAACAATGCCAAAGATTTCACCAAACATCAGTGAAAATTCTTCCCAAAGTCATAAATAAGGAGCTTTATTAATTGTCCTGCCTAGAGCTCCATACTCGGTTCCACCTGAACATCTGCTGAAGATCATTTCTGTTCTTAGATAACAGCATAATGTCAGATTGAAGGTTAGGATTAGACCGTCCCTTAAAATTGATTAATTTGGAATTATAACTTTTTTTAACAGGATTACAAATATAGGATGAGTGATGTTTCTGAAATATCTTCCGTTTTTTTTATTGCAGCTAAATTGGATTTGCAGACAAGATTGGCTGCATTACGATTACCCCTAAGCAGACTCCAAGACCTGCTACCACAAAGCTTTCGAGCTTCCCCTAAAATTTCATTCAATTTCAAGCTTTGTTTTGCAGAATTAGTCTATTTCAAACATAATCGTACCATGCTGAAATCTGAAGGTTGATGCTTTTTTCTAAACCCTAACCTGGTAATATTTGTAACCCCAGATTTACTGCTCTTTTAACACCTGGTAGAAAGTGTGAGAGACGCATGCTATCTCAGTATACTGGTAGCAGGTCTAGTGGGCAGTAATAGTTTTATACTATTGCTTTACAAGTGATTGTTTTAGAGCGGCCAGTATTCTTGCATTTATAGCATGACAAAGGTCTTCAGTGTTTTTTGACTAAAACATGTTTACAGAGAAATATGGCTAATGCAGCATTTTTTTATAGTTCAAGCATTAATTGCTCTTAGGCAGTCATTTCTTTCTCCGTGAGGTCTTCTAAATCAGTGTCATGTTCATCTGCCTAGTGACAGTTTATACATCCACACAAATGCAGTGTCGTGACTTGTGTAAATAGAGGGGCTACTGTGATTCAGCCCACTTTGCGATTTCGCACAACATCCGCATGTGTTCCCTGGAGCTCTGATGAGAGCAAGAGCTGTAATTAGACTGTCTTGTTAAGTGGAATACAATAGAAACGTATGTTAGAGTAACACTCTTTAATTGGAAACTGGCCCACTCTTTGTGCATTGATTTTCATGGACTGAAAGCCAGGTTCTTCCTTGTATATATGGGAAGATTGAATGTCTCCATGTTACAGCTGGCTCAATTCTTCAGTATTTATGCATAATGCATGAGGAGCCTTCATAAAGGGATGGCAAACACCCATGAAAAATGACTGCAGTGCACTTAGCAGCGTGCTGGCGATTTACGAATACAACTCGTGGGAAATCTGAATAGTAAGATGAGAGGAGAACTGGCGTTACCCTTTAAGTGGAATGCATGCATGGCTTCACAAACAGTCGAGTTATCAAAGATTGTTCCACATCAGACAGGTGCTGAAGCCCCGACAATTATTTTGGTCTTTGTTTCATTTTGTGAAAAGAAGAGCAGTGCGCCCAAAAAACAAAGTAACAGGTAACTGCTCCTGGTTATGATTTGCAGAATCATCTGTTTTACAGCCTGATGACTTAGTGATAATGCACATAAAATCCCTGAGCACTCCGCTTTAACGACCATGCTGAAAATGGTCAGGGGCTAGTATTGTGTGGAATACTCTTTTCTTTAGAGGACCATGGACAAGAACAAAACTGGTGCTGTACGTGTGTTTTCATCTGGAGCTGTGTCAGTCCTGTCTCCGATATTGAGCTCCAGTATCTGTTAGGAAAGTCTGGATATGGACAGTGTCCTCTCTGCTTTTCCTATCCGTAAGAATGGTGTTGAGGTGAGTTGGTGTGGGTAACATCAGCTGCTTTGAAGAAACTGGCAAAGGATGAGAGGAGAATTCTGTCTTGTTCTTGAATCAATTCTGAAATAAATTCAGGCCTTGTAACATTTGAACATCAGTGTGCAGCAAGATCACTGTATGACCCTTAAATCTAAGAATTATGATTTCACATTTTTGCAAAGTGACTTAAAAAGGAAATTCTATAATGTAACCTGTAAGAACCGTGCATATATTTTTTGATGACTTAAACAGAAACCATAATTAAGATTGCAGTAAGTGACTTCTTTACGAGGACTGTCCTGCCTTATTTTAACAAATATGAGCACTTTTCTACGTCAAGAGAGGAACGATGAAGTGGAGCCATGTGAAAGCTTTTGGTCACCTATCTTTGTAATTAGATTTTAACCTGTTCTGTATTCTTTATACTGTGTACAGGTTATGCATTGCGTGTCCTGAATGTATGTGTACCACTTAGTTTAACTTACACGGCTTTGCATTGTATTTAAGAGCTTGAACCAAACTATTCATTCACATGTGTAGAACCTATGCAACACTTATTTGGTATACGGTAGTTTTACAGAGACGTTTATAAGTTGATTTATTAAAATAAATATGCCACGGCAATCACATTCTGGGTATCCTCTTTCACAGTTAAATCGAGTCAGAATTACTGAAATTGACATACTACTGGCATCAAATGAACACAGTAAATGTGGTGTTACATTAATAATCATTTAAAAATAATTAATATAATAATATAATTCTAATATCATTTTTAACTGTACTAGAATTACTTTCTAGCTGAAAGTTGTTTAAAAAACTTTAAGACGTTGTTCAGTAATGCTTCTATGCATCTAATTTTACTATTGAAATGTACTATTCGGGCTTATATTTTATTCTGCTAAACTACACTGACACACAAAGTCAGACCTCAAAGATAGAAATATTTCGAACATGTCAAAATCACAGAAAATGTGAACAAAAATAGAGCCCAAAGAATCTTGACTGACAAAATGAAAACAAAGTATCTGATATGATCTTTCCTAGCATTAACACAATCCTGGCAGTGTTGATGTAAGGACCTGACCTACCTCTGGATAGACAGCTGTGGGGTTCTATTGCAGTCTTCCTGTGCAGCTGACACATAGACCTGACCTGACTCTGGACAGACTGCTGTGGGATGTTCTTGCAGTCTTCCTGTGCAGCTGATGCACAGACCTGACCTGACTCTGGACAGACTG